AAAAAAAAAAAAAGTCCTTAAAGTGATGAATGATCTGCATTAAAAAATGCCTTCCAGTGATACTTGTGCAGTGGGTATTCCTTTACCATACTTAGCTCAAGGATAAAGAATTTAACTAGGCAGAAAAAGGGGATGAAAATTTTTAGAATAACCTAAATGAGGGAAGGGGGAAAGGAAGAGTGGGGAGAATATACATTCAGTCTGATTTCATTATGTGCATTCCTAAAGGTAAAGAATGGAAATTAGATGAATAGAGCAGTCCTACCAATAGGACTGACCAATAGGTCAATTCCTGGGAGTGAGAACCCTATTGAGGAATCCCTTTCCTTTCAGGCAAATCCTTGGGGTTCCTTCATGGGCACTTGGCAAATGCCTTTGAAGATACCCCCTGCTCGGGTGACCCTGACATCACGTTCAACTGCTGGTGCTGCCTCCCTCACCAAATGGATACAGAAAAATCCCGATTTACTTAAAGCCTCCAATGGGCTGCGTCCTGAAATCTTAGGCAAGGTATCTATTCTTCCCATCTAACCCCAAATCCTATTGTTTCCATTTCTTTTCAACCTAACAAATGCCTACTGTTATATATCCATTATCCCAGCAGGGGGAACCTCTAATCAATTCCATCTTATCCTATCCCCTCCCTAATCATTTTCTAACATCTGAAGGGGGAGCTAAGGACATTTTACCCATAACAGTAGAAAATGATCTAATGTCAAGGGGAGTTTGGGAGAATCAAATTTAACTCTTTTTATTTGAAACCTGACCTGTTACTTATGGTATGGGGAGAAAGGCAGTTAGAATTCTGAAGTGTATTGGGAATGCTCTGGGCCTGACCAGAATCATAATTGTCTCTTTCACTCTGCCACTGACAGCCCCATGATCCAGATAGTCAGAAGAAACTAGGGAAGAAGTCTACCACAAAGACTGTCCAACAAGCACCAAGTCCAACGGTAATTCCATGCTCCCCAGCTGGCAACCCCAACTCCCCAGATGAACTCCAAAGCTCACACCCTTCTGCAGGTCACACTCCAGGTCCCCAAAGCCCAGCCAAATCTCCTAAGAGCCCGCTGGAAGAACATGGTCCCTAAGAACATGGTCCTCATCTAACTGAGGTCCAGAAAAGCAAGCATGGAACCTCAGAAAGAACCAAGGGCCATACTGAGAAAATCTGTCTAGAGGTTGAGTGAATGAAGTAAATAAGACACCCCAGTCAGAACTGTGCAACAGGGAAATTACAGGGTGAGAGTAAAGCAAATTTGGAAAATAAACATTGTTTTTTTAAATCTTTTACTGAACTGGATTTCTCCTTTTTTATAGGCTGAGTCTTTGTGTCACCCTGGGTAGAGAGCAGTGGGGTCATCAAAGCTCACTGCAACCTCAAACTTCTGGGCTTAAGCAATCCTCCTGCCTCAGCCTCCCTAGTAGTTGGGATGACAGGTGTGCACTACCACCCCAGCTAGTTTTTCTATTTTTCATAGAGACAAGCTCTACGCTTTTGCTCAGAGCTTTTGATCTTGAACTCCTGAGCTCAAGTGATTCTACCACCTGGGCCTCCCTGAATGCTAGGATTACAGGTGTGAGCTACTGCACCCAGCCAGATTTTCTCTTCTTGCTATGGCTGCCTCTTGCAACACATTGTTAAGAGAAACAAGGTTGAGGGGGAATACTGTAAGGAAAAGAACATGACAAAGGTTTGGGGTGAACACATTTCTACAAGAAGTGAGTCAGTTACACTCCAGAAATGACCAAGAGAAAGTTGATCTGAATGACCTGAAAGAACTAGTCCCTCACATCAACCTACTCATTTTTCATTCTAAAGATATACAACTAACAACTTCAATATCGGAAGCACAATTGTTTAGTAGAACACATGTATGTGTGTTTGGGAAGGTGAAGAAGAAAATGTATGAAAAGCCCAAGTAGAAAAGTAGAAGATACTATCCTTGTATAAAACTTTCTATCTAAACAGAAATACAAATACATGTATAAGCACAAAATTTTACAAAACATTTACAAAATATTCTCTACATATTGGCCACCTCTTTCTACATACACAGTCTTTTCTCTCTACTAATGGTGAACATGTTCCAAGGTATCTGTTGTTATGCAAGTAATTGCATTTCAAATGCATTCCTTTAAATAATCCATGTTTCGAATCTTTTCTTTATATGCCATGCTTTTAAGTGACTCCACAAATAAAAGTAAAATTCTGTTAATGAGTATTTCATAAATAAAGGTACACTTAGCTACAATTTCCCATTTTCCCTGTGTATGGTGACTTTTGGGGACACCTCTACATAGGTTGAAAACTGAAAATATGGAAAGGAATGAAATAGAAAAAAAACAAATTAAGAAGGTAAGTAGAAGGCCGGGAGCAGTGGCTCACGCCTGTAATCCTAACACTCTCAGAGGCCGAGGCAGGTGGATTGCCTAAACTCAGGAGTTCGAGACCAGCCTGAGCTAGAGTAAAACCCCATCTCTAAAAACAGCTGGGCACAGTGGCAGGCACCTGCAGTCCCAGCTACTGGGGAGGCTGAGGCAAGAGAATCTCTGGAGCCTAAGAGTTTGAGCTTGCTGTGAGCTGTGACACCATGGCATTCTACCAAGGGTGACAAAATGAGACTCTGTCTC